CTAGTATGAAAGAGGTGGCACGAGTATGACAAGAGGTGACACGAGTATGACAAGAGGTGACACGAGTATGACAAGAGGTGACACTAGTATGACAAGAGGTTACACGAGTATGACAAGAGGTGACACTAGTATGACAAGAGGTGACACGAGTATGACAAGAGGTGACACTAGTATGACAAGAGGTGACACTAGTATGACAAGAGGTGACACTAGTATGACAAGAGGTGACACGAGTATGACAAGAGGTGACACTAGTATGACAAGAGGTGACACGAGTATGACAAGAGGTGACACGAGTATGACAAGAGGTGACACTAGTATGACAAGAGGTGACACTAGTATGACAAGAGGTGACACGAGTATGACAGGAGTAGACACAAGTATGACAGGAAGGGCGTGGGAGTAGTAGATGGTGGTGTCTAAGCTACCTTGTCAACAATAAATCTTGACACCTAAAAAATTAACATTTGGAATCGCGAAAAATGACTTCCGACAGAGCTTAAAAAAACTATGACTCGTCACCGCAAGAAGTGAGACAGCAGCCGTCATCCAATGGGTCGACAGTGACAAATGACGGTACGAGGGTGACAGATGGTGCGGAGCTGATGGGAGATCTCAGCCGCCCAAACCATGAATGAGAAATGTGGCCAGGGAGAATGTTCTGTACAAGCTAGCCTCGGAGATGAGGGGGAAGGTTGGGGATGGCTGGATGGTGTGGGTGGGGGTGGCTGGGGGGGTTGGAGGACAGGGAAAGGGGGCGGGGTGGTGCTCAAGAGAGGATGGATGTGTGGCTGGGGGTCGATGACTACATTATCTAATCCATTACAGTTTACACTATTAAAGTTGGATAATCATCACGACACTAGCGGTTTGGTCGCATCTGGAAGTGATAATCTCATTTTGTAAGTGGCTCGTTAATGGCTGAAATTAATTGCCGGTGAAGAAGAGGAGGCTGAAGGCGTCTAGCCATTTAGTCGTGCACAACAACTACTTCTTTCATCTCCTCTGGTTGTTATTGTTGTTGTTATAGATTCAGCTACTGGGAACAAAAAGTTCCAAGTAGCACGGGCTATGGCGAGCCCGTAGTGCACCTCTGGTATTGATGCCAGGGGACCAAACATATGGAAAGCCGAGTCATAATGTGTGTGTTATGGGGACAACTGGAAGAGCATGTTTGCCTCAACTCAATAGCACTTTAACAGCATGGTGAACTTAACGAAAGTATATTTAACTCTGCTAGAGAATTTGGAGGGTAAAGGGGGGATTATCGGGAAAAAAGCGCCAAGCCATTACAACTATATAGCACTTACAAGGGGTCAGGATAAAGATTTGGGATGGGACGGGAGAAAAAGGAATGGTGTCTATCCACTTGGACGTTCGGGGATTGATCACCGATCTATATGAAGCGAGACCGTCGCTCTACCGTCGAGCCCAAGTGACTGGGCCCCCATTCCTTTCCCTTCGTCCCATCTCCGAACACAGAATTTGGAGAATGTCTGAGAAATGGGAGAACATGTAACCAAGTGTTGTGGTCCTCCTGAGGCGGACTCGTTGGTGTAGGAGTCTCTTACCGGTCTTCTGGAAGCTTGTGGTCCAATGTAACGTTGATATACAAAATATTTGCACTCACGTGTGGTCGTGGTTGAGAGCGGGGGTAACAGTGTAAGCCTCGAGGGTAGTTGTGCAGAAACGCTTCAACAATTTAGTTCAAACTGTGGGTGACGAATGAGTACAAATGTTAGTAGATATGTTGACCAGATTACACACTAGAAGGGTGAAGGGACGACGACGTTTCGGTCCGTCCTGGAACATTCTCAATTCGATTGAGAATGTAGTTATGGTGTCCCTTGGTCTTTCTTCTAAAACGACCAGCCTGCCTCATTTTCCTAACACACACACACACACACACACACACACACACACACACACACACACACACACACACACACACACACACACACACACACACACACACACACACACACACACACACACACACACACACACACACACACACACACACACACACACACACACACACACACACACATTCCTGCCTCCTCCAACACCCTTCCCACCTCACCACCAAACCCGACATCGTCTCTCATCAACACTCTCCTCATCTCTCTCCAACACTCTCACCAACTTCCCAGAGTCTCTCCTTAACGCCTTCCCCATATCTGCCTGCCTTCCCCTTCCCTTTCCCCTCCCCCCATTCTCACCCCACCTCCACGTTTTTGTCTACCTCATCATTTCCGTTTATACGGATGAAGACCCCCTCATGTTCCTCATTATCTCTCGCTCTTACCCGGCCTTTACACACGCTCAGTTTTCCCTACACTCTTGGCTCACTTGTCTCACCTCTCTCTCTCTCTCTCTCTCTCTCTCTTCTACACTTCGCTGTTCCTCCCTCTCCCAGTTATCCCTTCATTTAACCCTTCAGTCCACATATTTATCCTATCTTTCTCCTTGTGAAAGAGAGAGAAAACTCTTAACCTGCTAACAGGAGTCGGAATTCCTCTACTCCAGCGGGCACCTTTGTAGAGATGTGAGAGCTCCGACGCCCGCCTCACCTACGCCATAATAACCAGAGTAACGCAGGCTACAAGGTAACAATTTTAGTTTGAGCCAAGAATGACCTCTTCTGCAGAACGTCAGGTCGAGGAAAGAATGCATCAGTGATATTTTGTGTCAACTACGTTGGTACCGAGAGCCTGTGTCGTCTGTGTCTGTCTGTACTGTCTGTCTGTCTGTCTGTCTGTCTGTCTGTCTGTCTGTCTGTACTGTCTGTCTGTACTGTCTGTCTATCTGTCTGTCTGTGTCTGTCGTCCCTCCCTGAACTAATAGCCGCCATCGCAGGAATGAGCGCTGCTGCACCAGTTACACCCCAACACCACACACACACACACACACACACACACACACACACACACACACACACACACACACACACACACACACACACACACACACACACGCACACACGCACACACAGTCCAGTTACCAACACATTATCTCTAATGAGCGAAATCATGTGTGTGTGTGTGTGTGTGTGTACTCTGCATGTCTGTTTGTCGGTCTGAAGTTGGAGGCCAGAGGCTCGCGGTTAGCTCCACTCAACTTGCCAAGATGACATATTAGAGGTCAGTGAGTAGGCCAGTCGGAGTCGGAGCCCAGTAGCATACTTTAAAGAATTATTGGCATCTATATGGACCCCCCTGGGATTTTCATAAAGTCAGAAATTGGAGATATGTTTTCCATAGAGTTATGTAGCAGTTTTTCAGTGCTTTGTAATAATAAATAATATGAAATTTTCTGAGACCTTTAATGTGCTGAAGTGAAGTGGTCTGGCGAAGGAGTCAGGTGCATTTAGGTGCTTAAGACCATGAAAGGTGTACCGTAAAGATGCTTAAATGTGAAGTTCTCTGGAGGGTGGAAGAGAGGTCACGGAGAGGTGTGGAAGAGTAGCGGTCTGGAGGCTGGAGTACGAAGATGCTGAAGTAGAGAGATGATGAAGGAGCCATCGGGAGAGAGAGAGAGAGAGAGAGAGAGAGAGAGAGAGAGAGAGAGAGAGAGAGAGAGAGAGAGAGAGAGAGAGAGAGAGAGAGAGTGAGAGAGTGAGAGAGAGAGAGCACAGGAATACCTCCAGAGAACATGACACAGCCAGTACACAACGCTTGAAGGCCTATCTTTCACAACTAATACACCATAAATACAATTATGACATACAGTATGAAGTTTAAAATAAAAATGTCGCAAAGAAACATCTCAAAGAAGCTATAACACTAAGTGAAAAAAAGCTCGAATCGAATGAGTCCGATTAGCACATGAAGACGGTCAACACCCCAATCATCCACGAACAAAAATAATCCAGGTAAACAATAGATTCTTTGCCACGCCAATCTCACAAAAAAAAACATTTACAAGCTTAAGTTCTAACCAAAAAAACAAACAATTTTTTTCCTTGTAGTATTCAATCCTCTAATGAACCTCCCCGCAAAAGAACTCCGGCTTTAAAAATGAACGCGGGATCCCCAGCGCTCTATACGAAGCATTGAGAATTTTATTTTTCTACAGACGAGGGCGGAGGCCGGTTTGGGGAAGCGTCCCTGTTGCTCAGAGACTGGCGGAGGGAAGACATGGTCAGGGGAGAAGGAGAAGAAGAAGCAGGAGAAGGTGGAAATAAGGTCAGGGAATGTATAGGAAGTGAAGGGTGAAAATGGTGACAGAGGAACAGGATGAGGGAGGGAATAAGGGTTGTGGAAGGAAAGGGTGAGTGAGGTAAATTTGTGACCATCTTAGAACAACCCAAATACACCCAGACAGACAGACACACAGACATACAGACAGACAGACACACAGACAGGAACCAGACACTCATTTACATAGGTAAATCTAATCTGAGTCTGAAAGGTGTGATAATTTACGTCTGAAGGTCTGTCAGTTTACGTCTGAGCAACTAATAGCCTAACTCTGAACGTATGATACTCTATGTATGAGGGACAGCCCAAGTCTGAGCATATAATTGTGTATATATGCATAATAGTCTCTATATTATACATATATAGATACTTATATGCTCATACGTAGGCTAAGAGTCCCTCATACATAATCACACGCTCAGATTTAAGCTATCGGATGGGTTACCTTACCTTGAGGTGCTTCCGGGGCTTAGCGTCCCCGCGGCCCGGTCGTCGACCAGGCCTCCTGGTTGCTGGACTGATCAACCAGGCTGTTGGACGCGGCTGCTCGCAGCCTGACGTATGAGTCACAGCCTGGCGATATGTTTTCCATATGTTACCTTCAACTTCGTTCTGACAGTTCCTGCGACGGCGCTGGAACCAATCGTACTGGCGTTTGCTTCTCCATTGGAGACTGTTAACACCGTGGATGGGGGGGGGGGGAGCTGCTGCTTGGGTAACAGCTTCTCTCCCGTATCAACCTACCCTGGCTTTGCGCCCTGGAGAGGCCACTCCAAACCGACAACCAGAGTGCAACTCCATAGTCTCCTGAGACTGATGGATGCCTACTAATCTATATAATAGACAACTGTTCCTCTCCTCTGTCTTATCGCAAATGCTCTACGGATTATGTTAAAAATTAAAACATTGGTTGTCTATGTTTGGAAAGTCACTCTGACGCTTGTAATACACAAGTCTTGTAAAGATTGTAATTAAGGTTGTAAAAAGAGAAGTCGGTGTAAATGCTGAGTTATCTTTTTTATATATAAGAAAGAGAACCAAATTAGGGCCAAGAAAGAAAGACTTTTTCAATCCCCTTTATGTTGGTGTCGTACAGATGGGACTGGGAGGTAATTAGCTGACGGGAAGTGGCCCAGTTTCTGAGAGGGAGGTAATTAGATGAAGAAATAGAGAGTGAGAGAGAGAGAGAGAGAGAGAGAGAGAGAGAGAGAGAGAGAGAGAGAGAGAGAGAGAGAGAGAGAGAGAGAGAGAGAGAGAGAGAGAGAGAGAGAGAGAGAGGACACAGACCGACACATACAGAGAAACAGCGAGCAACAAACATACAAGAGACAGTGACAGGTAGACAGACACTGATACAAAAGACAGATACATGACAGAAGGCAAGACAGTGACATTGACACGTCCAATACACGAGCCTCAAGTGCTCGGTGAGACAGCTGTCATGATCCCTATGTTTCATGAACGCCATCTCAAGCGCCACCTTCCCCCTTGACTCCCTCGAGAGCATAAGTGACAGTTTTACCTCCTTCGTTAAGTCTTCACTTACTTACCAATCCTTCTCCTCGTGCTACACCCCCAATCTTCCTTGAATCGTTTCTCCTCGTGCTCCTATCCAATATTTATCTAAACCTCTCTACTGTCCTTTGCTCCATTCTTTCCCAATGACACATATTTTCCATCCCTTGAGCAGGAGTGTGTTTTCTCAGCCCAACACTATTTGGGAGATCTCTACAAGTCTTACAAGACAATCCACACTTCGCAGATCTCTGCAAAAGTCTTGCAAGGCAATCCACACTTCGGAGATCTCTGCAACAGTCTTACAAGACAATCCATACTTCGCAGATCTCTGCAAAAGTCTTGCAAGGCAACCCAATACTTCGCAGATCTCTGCAACAGTCTTGCAAGGCAACCCACACTTCGCAGATCTCTGCAACAGTCTTACAAGGCAATCCACACTTCGCAGATCTCTGCAACAGTCTTACAAGACAACCCAATACTTCGCAGATCTCTGCAACAGTCTTGCAAGGCAACCCAATACTTCGCAGATCTCTGCAACAGTCTTGCAAGACAACCCAATACTTCGGAGATCTTTGCAAAAGCCTTGTCAGGCAACCCAACACTTCGCAGATCTCTGCAACAGTAACATCACCAGTCTAGGTTTTGCACAAATTTAGTTTTTAATGTTTGCAAAGACCGTGAGAACGTTGCGGCTGCTGCTCGCCGTACAATTCCCAGGCAATTTCTCTTTGGGAATTCCAAAGTGGTATTTCGCGTGTTTTATTAGTGAGGATTTACTGTTTAGTTAAATAAACTCTATACGAGACAACCAAATCATTCTCAGTTATTGAACAGAGAAAACCCGCATACAGACACATAGCCTAATCGTTATACAGCCTCCTGTCTTCCTTCTAAGCGGTGGTTAAGATGTGGGAACGAGAACATCTTTACTGATGTTTCTATTCTGTGATCACCTTTGCCTGTCTATCTTCATCTTACCTTGTACCTTATTGTGCTGTAATCTTACCTTGTTATTTATTCTGCCATAATCTTATCTGGTAAATTATTCTGCTGTTACCCATATTTTAATATCACCCATACCCACACTGCCACAACCCACTCCCACCACTAATGTCACCCATACCCACACTGCCACTACCCACTTCCACCACTAATGTCACCCATACCCACACTGCCACTACCCACTCCCACCACTAATATCACCGATACCCACACTGCCACTACCCACTTCCACCACTAATGTCACCCATACCCACACTGCCACTACCCACTTCCACCACTAATATCACCGATACCCACACTGCCACTACCCACTCCCACCACTAATATCACCCATACCCACACTGCCACTACCCACTTCCACCCCCATTGTCACCCATACCCACACTGCCACTACCCACTTCCACCCCCATTGTCACCCATACCCACACTGCCACTACCCACTTCCACCACTAATGTCACCCATACCCACACTGCCACTACCCACTTCCACCCCCATTGTCACCCATACCCACACTGCCACTACCCACTCCCACCACTAATATCACCCATACCCACACTGCCACTACCCACTTCCACCACTAATATCACCCATACCCACACTGCCACTACCCACTTCCACCCCCATTATCACCCATACCCACACGTGCAGTAACTAGCCTCCCGCCTGTACCCACAGTGGTGGTGTCGCCTCCGTGCAGCAGCGTGAGTTACAGTTGGCACAGGATCAGTCACAGTGACCTGCACCTGCCCGCCCCAGCACCTCTACTGCAGACCGTCGTGACCAGAATGAGGTCAGTAGCCTAGTGTGACTCTCTCTCTCTCTCTCTCTCTCTCTCTCTCTCTCTCTCTCTCTCTCTCTCTCTCTCTCTCTCTCTCTCTCTCTCTGGGGAGTCAAACAGCAGGCGCAGATATTTTTTTTAGTTTTTTATATACTTAATTTATAATACTGCATGCATACAATCAAACAATATAATAATAGAACTAAAATGTAAGATGGCATAATAGTAAAGAGTAAGTAGGCCTATATTATAAAAAAAAGTGTAGTTTAACTATGCCACAAAGTATATAATGACAATATAATGACACAATAATGAATCAAAAGACAACGAAAATTTAAAAAACATAAATATTTCAACATTTATAATACATCGCGACAGAGCGGTGAGCTATATAGCCTAATAGTGACATTATAGCCTAATAGTGGCAATTACTGCGAATTCTTACAACAATTACAATACAGTGACTATGCTATGTACAACAACGTAAATTCTGCATCATGACTTTGAACTGGTATGCCTAATGTCACCAAAATGCCCCACAAAAGACACTGATATGCATGTCAAACGCGGCATAAAGTCACCAAACATTGTATATTAACACTGAAATGCAGTAAAACTATTATGTAGAATAACAAGATAATTATGATTCATAACGCTAATTATGAATAAAATAAGCTTAATAATGGAACTGTCCTCAACATCGTAAAAAAAACGTCTTACCGAAGCCTAGTAATATATATATATATATATATATATATATATATATATATATATATATATATATCTATATATATATATATATATATATATAATATATATATATATATTAGTATATTTTGGTAGCAGTCTTTCCTGTAGACATATATTATTAAATATGACCGAAAAAGTAAGATTAATAATTCTAACACGAATTTTCTCAATCTTTCATACATTTCTTTTCACTGTTGGAGGTAAATCAAAAATCAATTCTCCAAATATATATATATATATATATATATATATATATATAAAGCGCACATGATCAATGATTCCCAATAAAAAAATTAAAGCAATTAAAACTAAAACTAATGAACTTGTAAAGGTTTTAAAAGACTTTACAAAAATAGAAGTGACAATAACTGAGGTATATTACTCACAGAGTGCGGGCGCTGCGATCCAGGTCCTCTTGATTAACGCACAAAATCATATTTATTCTTAAAATGCACTTAATTTCAGTTGAAGGGGGGGGGAGGGGGAATTAAGAGCGTGTAGTACTACAGTCAATACGCACTTTAAAAATTTCAACGAGAGTGTGATAGTAAATCATTAACGCAATAAGACTTCGAAGCCTTGTTTACATACTGTGTATCACAGAACACCGGTTTAATTCTCCATTTGTCTTCAGCCAGACCATTAAACACTCACTATATATAATATATATCTTACACAAAAATAAACTAGCGTTTTGTGGTGGTTAGTAGTGCTTTTTTAAGGTGGTATAGAAGGGCGGGCTGCAACCGCGTCCATCACCCGAGACCGTCAGCTGGGGTGTGTTTACATGATGTCGTCTCATCACCCTCCTGTTATCGTTATTAACTCTATATTCCCGCTTACCCTTTCTTTAGCTTCTTATAGGTGTTTAGATATGAACAGGAGGCACCTATATATTATATACATCCACTGGTCTGCCATCTTTGCTATATTTTTAATCGCCGCGATCGAGTGAATATTTAGAAATGTGATTACGGAACCTAGGCTTGCTCTCTAGTTTTTTTTTTTGTTAGTTTTAGGCAAGATAATACCGGATTTGATTAATATTTGAATTTATTCGTTTTTTCGAAGGTACTTAGCTCTATGGCTTATTAATAAGTATATATATATTATATATATAATTATATAATTAAGTTTCACCCTCCCTTGCAAGCTCTCTCTAAACCTCTCTCTTTTCTAGTAAGACAATTTTTTTGGCCTTAGGTAACGCATACGAGCGAAAGGCGACGTGCTTTGTAAAATGACAAGTTGTCCTTGGGAGGAATAGGCAGGGGTTGACCTCACACACACACACACACACACACACACACACACACACACACACACACACACACACACACACACACACACACACACACACACACGTATCAGAATGAAAATGCTCTCCCAGGCCTGTCAACCCCCAACCCCCTCCCCCCTTTCCTTCTCTTATCTCTAAATTAACTGCTTCATTTCTTTCTCTCTGGCTAAGTACTGCTCCCCCTCCCCCCCCCTCCCCTTACCCAGGTCTTTGTGACCTTTCAACGCTTCATATTATTTTTAACCTCTTCCCATGGCCAGTGTTGGTGGTGGTACTGACCTACAGGCACGTACCTACACGTGCTGACCAGGAAGTGAGGTCTAGCTCTTCTTCTACACATCTTGCCTTAGAATTTAATGGTTCTGATGTTCGAATTCCTTGTCGAATCTGGTCTGTACACCAGTACTCGAATATTTTTATATTTCAATTACTTTCTTTTTTTTTGTTATAAATGTTTAATGTATAAATTATGACTACATTGTGAATGATCTTTAGGTATAACACACAGAAATCACAATAGCGTGATGCATCAAATTAACAAATCCACAAGGGCCGTGTAGAGGATTCGAACCTACGTCCGGGACCATGTTTTGGCCATGGTCAAAACTACGTTTTGACCATGTCGTAGCTCAGTCGATTAAGGCAGCGTCTGGGATGCTCCCGGACGTAGGTTCGAATCCTCGTCACGGCCCCTTGTGGATTTGTTCATCTTTAGGAATATTTGATTACTGGAGCACAGGTGTGGGCCGTGTGGTAGCTGCCTAAGAGCACCAGACACAACACAACACACAGGCGCCTATCTTGAGATCTTGAGGTTATCTTGAGATGATTTCGGGGCTTCTCCACCCCCAGGAAGCAGCCCGTGACAGCTAACACCCAAGTACCTATTTTACTGCTAGGTAACAGGAGCATAGGGTGAAAGAAACTCTGCCCATTGTTTCTTGCCGGCGCCCGGGATCGAACCCAGGACCACAGGATCACAAGCCCAGTGTGCTGTCCGCTCGGCCGACCGGCTCCCGGCTCGCCTATTATAAAGCTTGAACAAAAGTTACAATTACCATTAAAGCTTCAGGAGTGAAATATGAGACGCTCTCATTAGCCATTGTCTGTGTAATTAACAGCGTCCATTACTTCCATCACTATCGCCGACTGCCCTTACTTGAACCCCTTATTACCATGCTCATTGGTAATCCTAGTCTAACTACCTGATTACTAAGCTTACCTCTTATATTACTATCTGCAATGTTAACTACCCTCGTCAACAATACTCATATGGTAATTACCTCTCTAACTATCCTCTCACCGACGCTACTAATCACGACAGCCTGCACCTTGACAACCAGTTAATATCGTTTAACAAGGTCCGAGTAGTTAAGACCCTTCTGCTTCAACCATCCCCCCCCCCCTTGCAACAATGCAAATCTAATTAATAGCCCTTTAATTATCTCGTAGCTACTTTTAACAACTAATTGATCTTTAATTAGAAACTACCTGTTATTTCCACACTGAATGCTTGTAACGTATCTCTTAACAACTCACTAACAACACTGACAGTCTCTAACAACCTCTGTAATTCTCTAATAACTCAGTAATCGTATTCATGTATTCAACTCCAGTTATCACGCTTAACAACTACCTGCTTGTAATCACCAATAATTGCCTAATAACTTCCAATACTAACCTGTAATTAAATACTATTATCATTTATAAATAAACATTAACTACTAATATTAACCACCAACTGCATGATTTTCCAACTGATAGTAATTAATGCTAATAGACTAATAATCCCTATTATCTGTTCCCTGTTTGTACCATGCAATTGCTAACATAAATCCCCTCTAACAACCCACTAACTACCAATAACCAAGCTCTAACATCTCCCCTAACTCCCTGCACCCTCTAACCACCTGTTTAACTACTGTGGTACAGGCTGTCGACGCCGTTCCTGTTGGTGGCCTGCGGACTGTTGGGCTTGGCCTGCCTCCTGGCTGTGGTCGGGCGCTGTTGCTACGCCCACGCCGCCCTGGTCGCCGCCCTTCTCTACTCTCTAGGAGGTGAGACCGCCCGTGTCTACCCTCCAGATCTACCTCTGAGTCCTTCCAGTCTCTACCCCCTTATAGCTTCTGTACCCACATATATCTATCTACCAGTCATTCCACAGTTACCTACCCTAGACCACATCTACTGCTGTCTGGTGGAGACGTCCCATCACTCACTATACCCGTCCATCTCACAATACCTAAAAATAGTTCATCAGAACTTGGATGAGAATCGATGTTACTGTCTTAATTAAACCCTATCAGTTTGTAGGTAAATTAATTGTAGATTTGAAAATGCTTTTGCATCAATAGCATTATAAAGGCGGCAGCATGCTGTGTTTATGTGTATTGCTGGTCTCTGAAGTAGATGATTGTGCGTGACTGTATGGTAATTATCTTACTCAACTATCTACGTATTCAAGACATTGTGCTTGTAAGGAAAGTTCCAGTTCCATAGCCACGTCATTCTGTTCCGTATTGTAATGGCCCCAAACCCTATTGCTTCTTAAACCTATTCTTGAAATGATATATATATAGTTTGCTTCAATTGCTTCTCCTTAGTCCTCCAAGCACTTGGCCTGGACGGTTGACCGACGGTTTCGCTTCATGCAGATCGTAGTTCAATCCCCGACCGTCCAAGTGGTTAGGCACTATTCCTTTCCCTCCGTTCCAAATCCTTATCCTCATCCTTTTCAAGTACTATATAGTCGTAATGTCTTGCCGGTTTTCCCATACAATTCCCTTCCCACCCTCCAGCTCACTTAACATATTTCATAAGAAAAACATATTTTCAACAATTTTCTCTTCACATTTCTTTACGTAAGAATGGCGATGAATATCCCATAACCCATTGCTCGATTCACACTCAACGACTCAATACTCATGACAATTTATCACAAATTCAACGGTTGCACTCTCAACAATGCACAGTTGCACTCTCAACAATGCACAGTTGCACTCTCAACAATGCACAGTTGCACTCTACACAAAAAATATAAAAATGGCATGGAAAGCCTACTCCCACGAACACAAAATACCGACTTCCTGCCAGTCCTATAGTCAATGGAGACGAGGAGTCACAATAACCATTGACCATTGACGTCCTATAGTCAATGGAGACGAGGAGTCACAATAACCATTGACCATTGACGTCCTATAGTCAATGGAGACGAGGAGTCACAATAACCATTGACCATTGACGTCCTATAGTCAATGGAGACGAGGAGTCACAATAACCATTGACCATTGACGTCCTATAGTCAATGGAGACGAGGAGTCACAATAACCATTGACCATTGACGTCCTATAGTCAATGGAGACGAGGAGTCACAATAACCATTGACCATTGACGTCCTATAGTCAATGGAGACGAAGAGTCACAATAACCATTGACCATTGACGTCCTATAGTCAATGGAGACGAGGAGTCACAATAACCATTGACCATTGACGTCCTATAGTCAATGGAGACGAGGAGTCACAATAACCATTGACCATTGACGTCCTATAGTCAATGGAGACGAGGAGTCACAATAACCATTGGCCATTGACGTCCTATAGTCAATGGAGACGAGGAGTCACAATAACCATTGGCCATTGACGTCCTATAGTCAATGGAGACGAAGAGTCACAATAACCATTGACCATTGACGTCCTATAGTCAATGGAGACGAGGAGTCACAATAACCATTGACCATTGACGTCCTATAGTCAATGGAGACGAAGAGTCACAATAACCATTGACCATTGACGTCCTATAGTCAATGGAGACGAAGAGTCACAATAACCATTGACCATTGACGTCCTATAGTCAATGGTTGCTCTCCCATTATCTGCATTATAGTTTCTTAAGATTGACCGTTATACTTTTGCACAGAAATTATGATAGTTCACTAAAAGCTGTTTTATATTTTAATGCTGGAGTTGGCAATATAATGGCTGTCACGTGGAATTTTGCTGATGAGATTCAAGATTCTGGTGATGTTGTTGTTGTTAAAGATTCGCTACCTGGAACAAGAAGTTCCAAGCAGCACGGGCTATGGTGAGCCCCGTAGTGATTCTGGTGAGATTTTGTTTAAGGGACATTGTTGACATAAGTGAGAGGACTGGCAACACACAGGGTAAGGTGTTGGGCAGCAACTAATGTGCTCCATACAATGGGGGACTTATGATAAAATTTGTGCAACAAATTAAAGCATTGAGAAGTCTATCCGGAAGTCACATGACCCCCCCATGGACATCACGTGACATCGTCATGAGGTCACGAGTCACACCAGGTTAAAGAGCCTAGAGTAACGTTCTGGTAACAGTTGGATACAGACGTGCTTCAACCCGTCCTCCTAATAGAACGTCGCATCTTGACGTATACACTCTTAAGGCCAAAAATCGTCGTACTAGAAAATATCAGCGGCTGGCGAAACTGACATACTGTCCCGTTTTCTGTTTTGGGTCCTCTGGTAGGTTAGGATAAGGCCATTTTAGTACGACAGTTTCTTGGCGTTTAGGGAAATCTTAGAAGGACGGGGTGCGTACATAACGTCTCTGCCTGTGATGTATTCTCAGTAACAGTGATCTACGCTTGTTGCTGGGAGTGGCACCACGACCAGGTGAGGACCGGGCCGCGGGGACACTAAGCCCCGAAATCATCTCAAGATAACCTCAAGATAGCTGACGACGTCTAGGGCCTGAGGGAGGAGTCATGTAGGCATGAAGAGGATATCACCGCACAACTGTGTGAGATATCACAGACCTATAACACCCCACAGACCACAACCCACAACCCTGACAGTCCACAGATGACAACCCACAACCCTGACAGTCCACAGCTCACAACCCACAACCCTGACAGTCCACAGCTCACAACCCACAACCCTGACAGTCCACAGATGACAACCCACAACCCTGACAGTCCACAGCTCACAACCCACAACCCTGACAGTCCACAGATGACAACCCACAACCCTGACAGTCCACAGCTCACAACCCACAACCCTGACAGTCCACAGATGACAACCCACAACCCTGACAGTCCACAGCTCACAACCCACATCCCTGACAGTCCACAGCTCACAACCCACAACACTGTGACAACCCGCAGACCCATAACACTTCACTGACCGCCATAACTCACCGTAATTATCTCTTTGATCTCTCGCGGTTTCCTAATTCAATTAACTCATTGGGATAATTTATGGTGCGGCTTTAAGGTAAATTAATAATTAATATGCGCGAATTAGTAATTAATACGCACGATTTATGACCCGGTTATCAAATTACTATTGGGAAAAATACACGAGGTTTACTGAGGGGTGAAGTGTCTCTCTCTCTCTCTTGCTTCCCCTCAAACCGTGTGTGTGTGTGTGTGTGTGTGTTCACCTATTTGTGCTTGCGGGGGTTGAGCTTTGGCTCTTTGGTCCCGCCTCTCAACCGTCAATCAACTGATGTACAGATTCCTGAGCCTATTGGGCTCTATCATATCTACATTTGAAACTGTGTATGGGGTCAGCCTCCACCACATCACTGCCTAATGCATTCCATCCGTTAACTACTCTGACACTGATAAAGTTCCGTCTAACGTCTCTGTGGCTCATGTGGGTACTCAGTTTCCACCTGTGTCCCCTTGTTCGCGTACCACCAGTGTTAAACAGTTTATCATTATCTACCCCTGTCAATTTCTCTGAGAATTTTGTAAGTAGTGATCATGTCTTCCCTTACGCTTCTGTCTTCTAGTGTCGTGAGGTGTATGTGTGTGTGTGTGTAGGAAAATGAGAGGCGCTTCTGTCACTTTCCTGTGTTAGCACACTACCATCCAAGCCCCTCACTTTCCTCACCCCGCAGCCTACTGTGCTACGTGACGGGTCCTGTATTTAACGTGTATATAAACTCCCATCCCCCAAAATTATTGCACTTAATAGCAACTATTGTTCAAAAACGTACAAAAATGAACCGTTGTACCCAAATCAGCCCACGCTTGATACACTTCATTTTATAGGAGTCATGAGAACAAGCGTCAACCAAAGCTCAACTTTCCCAGGCCTAGTCTAGCTAATATATGTGTACAAAATTAGACCTAAGATGGCGAATATTGGGCCTAGAATTGGACAGGTTAAGTGGTATAGTTACAGTGCCACTTGGAGTATGCCAATTATATATATATATATATATATATATATATATATATATATATATATATATATATATATATATATATACATATACATATGTGTGTATATCACGAAAATAAACACGTGATTAAGAATGTGACAATGTCAGACCACGAAGGAAAATGAAACAGGAAATTTCCTTAAGTACTTTCGTATATTAAATACATCTTCAGAAGGTCATTTTACAGATCGAGTGATGGGTATAAATAGGCAGGAGAGAGTGGTGAAGTAAGGTGAGGTACAATACTTACTTCACCACTCTCTCCTGCCTATTTATACCCATCACTCGATCTGTAAAATGACCTTCTGAAGATGTATTTAATATACGAAAGTACTTAAGGAAATTTCCTGTTTCATTTTCCTTCGTGGTCTGACATTGTCACATATACATATATATATATATATATATATATATATATATATATATATATATATATATGTTTCATTGAATATGACCGCATATTCTGTATTTATTATTTTCTGGTTTAGGGCTTCTATCCCTCTAACTATTTTCTTAGCATCAGGGCTTAGTTGAAACCAGAAAACCACCTAAACCAGAAATAATAAATACAGAATATGCGGTCATATTCAATGAAACATATATATAAATATATATATATATATATATATATATATATATATAACACGTGCGGCTCACGTGACGCCTAACCAATGACTGACATTTTTCAAGGATGCAACACACAATAATTGCCTAACTACCGGATACCTATTTACTGCTAGGTGAACAGGGCCATGAGGTACAAGGGAGTGTGCCCAAACGTCTCAACCCCCCTAGGTGAATCGAACCCTGAATCAATTGACTGTGAGGCGATCGCGCTAGGGTCATTGAGCACGCATATTGCCTGACTGTTTAACGTAATGACCCAATATATTTCAGACTTAAATTCATACTGAGAAAGTTGATTTAAAATTAAACTTGAGAAAATATTTTGAGTGAATTGTGGAAATAATTCATTCCGGAGACATGATTATAGTTTGCTAGCACTGTAATAATGTTTTCTCCCAGCACAGGTGTAGAGATGGGTGGTGTAATGATGTTAACTCTCTCTCTCTCTCCCGCCCGCAGGTCTGAGCGTGGGCGTGGGTGTGGTGTGGTTCGTGTCTGTGATCTCTGAGGAGTACGGCCTGGCCTCTGGTCGCCGGACCAGCTGGGCGGCCATGTACGCCTACCGTTACGGCTGGTCATTAATGGCAGCCACTAGTGCTGGCGTGGCTGCCCTCCTGGCTGCCCTCCTCACCGGCCACGCCCACCTGGCCCGCCACGCTCCCATGGTGGCCGGGATGCGAACCCGGTCCAGCAGCAGCACGGAGGAGAGTCTGGCCCGTCCGCTGCTGAGGTGCCGGAGTGAGGGGTGTCTGGGGCAGCGGTCCTTCACCTCAGACACCATCAGGACCTACCTCACCTGTGACTCCCGCCGCCACCACCCGCCGCGGGGCTGCCTGCCCCCGCCGCCCCCGCCCCTCCACCACTCCCCCTCCATCGTCGACCTCACTCGACCCTCCGAGGACCACCTGCCGTCCGAACCCCCGCCCTCACGACGCTCCTCCCGAGCCACTATCCTTGCTGACGATGTTACTCGTGACTGTCACATCCACCTGCCGCAGCAGCAGCAGCAGCAGCAACAGCAGCAGCAGCAGCAACAACAGCAGCAGCAGCATAAGCAACAGCAGCATAAGCAGCAGCATAAGCAACAACAACAGTCAAAGCAGTCACAAACGCAGCAGCAGCAGCAGCAGCAAGGGCGGGGCTGGCCTGTAGAAACTTCTCGAGTGATCATAGAGGCGCCACGTGGAGCTCTCACTCCAGCTGTGCCGCCTCCACCCCTCAGCTCCTCCTCATCCTCCACCTCACCAATAGAGCCGCCTCCACCTGCCCTGCCACCCGCCACCCGCGCGGCGGCGGCGGCGGGTGGCGGCCCCCGGCGGGTGACGGCAGAGTCCGCCGCCAACAGATCAGTATGCGAGCCACTGCGGCTGCCCGAGTACAACTCCTTCACTACGAGTGACTACAGCCGCACTCTGCCGACGGAGGCCCGCCAGATGGCAGTGTTTGAGAGGCGCTCAGGCCAGCGGTCATCCACCCTCACCCGCTCCTCCACCAAGATATCCTCGGAGGTATGAGACCAAGACGCCGGCAGGAAATGTTCGCGGCGATATTCTTATGATCCCGGTGGTGAGACCTGGGTCTAGGGGGCTGGCACCTGCTGGCACCTGCTGGCACTACGCGGGGCCCCTCACCTGCTGGCACTACGCGGGGCCCCTCACCTGCTGGCACTACGTGAGGCAGCTGACCTACTGGCACTACGTGAGGCAGCTGACCTACTGGCACTACGTGAAGCAGGCACCTGCTGGCATTACGTGGGGCAGCTGACCTGCTGGCACTACGTGGGACACTTCACCTGCTGGCACTACGTGGGACCCCCCTCACCTGCTGGCACTACGTGGGACCTCCTCACCCGCTGGCACTACGTGGGACCCCCTCACCCGCTGGCACTACGTGGGACCCCCCTCACCTGCTGGCACTACGTGGGACCCCCCTCACCTGCTGGCACTACGTGGGACCCCCCTCACCTGCTGGCACTACGTGGGACCCCCTCACCTGCTGGCACTACGTGGGACCCCTCACCTGCTAGCACTACGTGGGACCTCCTCACCCGCTGGCACTACGTGGGACCCCCCTCGCCTGCTGGCACTACGTGGGACCCCTCACCTGCTAGCACTACGTGGGACCTCCTCACCCGCTGGCACTACGTGGGACCTCCTCACTTGCTGGCACTACGTGGGACCCCCCTCACCTGCTGGCACTACGTGGGACCTCCTCACCCGCTGGCACTACGTGGGACCTCCTCACCCGCTGGCACTACGTGGGACCCCCTCACCCGCTGGCACTACGTGGGACCCCCCTCACCTGCTGGCACTACGTGGGACCCCCTCACCTGCTGACACTACGTGGGACCCCCTCACCTGCTGGCACTACGTGGGACCCCCTCACCCGCTGGCACTACGTGGGACCCCCCCTCACCTGCTGGCACTACGTGGGACCCCCTCACCCGCTGGCACTACGTGGGACCCCCTCACCCGCTGGCACTACGTGGGACCCCCTTCACCTGCTGACACTAAGTAAACAGTCTCAGGATCTCCCTGCGTCTCAAGACCCTTGTATCCCCAACAGAACTGTGCCCAACCCCCGCTACCTCCAGAACACAAACACCTCCACGTCCAGATGACGCGTCGTACACCGACGCCCCTGAACCCCGAGACGTTCAGAGTGAACAATGTGGCTGAGGGTTCAGTTAGCCCGCGAGGTGAACACTGAATCCCTCGAATACTTTCAGAAAACGATTCATGTGAGGTTTCAAAACAGGGGGGAAGGAAGGAGGTGGGGAATATGAAATATTTGTTGCACGTAGGTCTATATAGAGCCTACACGTGCATCAGACGTCAAAGTGACTTTGTGGTGGTGAGTTGAGTGAAGTCTCAAAGCAAGTGAACACTCCATCCTGGCCATCCTAGGCTACCGTGCAGCATGTGTATGTGTGAATGTTTATATATATATATATATATATATATATATATATATATATATATATATATATATATATATATATATATATATATATATATATATATATATATATATATAAGGCTTGAAGTTACCTCTTGGTATTCCTGTACTCATTATTCGTCTTGTAAAGAAGCTTGGTGTCTACTGGCTCTCTGGGTGCTCCACTTCCCCCCACGCAGAAATAAGTGGTTGGAGAAAATCCTGAACTTCGAAACGTGTGTGTTTGTCTCGTGTATATGTGTGCGCGTGTCGGTGTATGAATGCCTGTGTATTTATTTGCTATTTGTGTCTGCAGAATCGAGCTTTTTTTTTAGCTCTTGGATCCCTGCCTTTCTAACCAATCTATTTTCCTCTATTATGTCTACTACATATATTTCTCTCTAACACATACACACACATCCACAGGAAGCAGTCCGTAGCAGCTGTCTAACTCCCAGGTACTTATTTACTGTTTGGTGAATATGGACATCAGGGTTAAAGAAACTTTGTCCATTTGTTTCTGCTTCGGCCGGGAATCGAACCCGGGTACTTAAGACTACGACCCCCGAGCGATATCCACTCAGGCGCGAGGCCCTTGCGCGTGTGTGTGTGTGTGTGTGTGTGTGTATGTGTGTGTATGTGTATGTGTATGTGTGTGTGTGTGTGTGTGTGTGTGTGTGAGTACTCACCTATTTGTGCTTGCGGGGATGAGCTTTGGCTCTTTGGTCCCGCCTCTCTACTGTCAATCGTGTGTGTATGTGTATGTGTGTGTGTGAGTGTGTGTGTTGTATACGTAACTATACATACAAGGTGCCAATGGTACTATGTATCATTACTCATCATATTCGCCTACCAAACCCCCCCTTTCATATGCATACCAATGTATGGTGTCGAGTTAAGCTGTATTTTATACGCTAAATACACACACATATCAACAACCATAATTAATACTTTTGTAGATAAAAAAAGAGCTTTTGCCACGATTGATGGATGTTTGGTGAAGCAAATAAAAGATTAACAACGGGGAGCAGCTTTCATTCTCCACTCACCACCTCCCCCTCAAGCGTCACCCTCACAAGGAACATCAACCTCCCCCTCAAGCGTCACCCTCACAAGGTACATCAAGTAATAAGACTAATAATAAGAAAAAACAAGGTAGGTAGAGCGGCAAAATAAGCAGACAAGTAGAAAGACGAAATAAAAGGAGAAACAAAGTCGCTTTAACCAGGTAAAAACAGGTAAAAACAAAATAGGAAAAATAAAGAAAAGTATGATCTTCAATTTTTCCTAATGCTCAAAATATTCAGATAATTCCCCTTCTTTCTTCCCCCCAGAATAAGGAGCACATGCTGGAGAAAGCAAAATAAAGTAAGGGAGAAAACACGAGTTAAATATTCAGAGTCAAAATATATAGTCAAAGTTTGTAGTAGAGTTTCTCAACATTTTAAAAGAGTCAGCAAGTTCTTGTGCCTTCAGTGGGCGAGTGAGTCGGGGTGTTCCCCCCCCCCCCTGGCTTTATGACCCCTGGTCTGGCCCAGTGCCACCCCCTGGCACCCCCTGGCACTCTCAGTGCCACACACGCTGCAGGGGTTATGGTCTCTCAGGGCACACAAGGTGTAGAGACACTATGACATTAACCAGGGCATCATATGTCATCTCAGAATGCTGTTTGAGTCGGCCACGAGAGCCATAGTTGGGATCCCAATATGCCATGCGAGTGGTGCATGGAGTCATAATGAGGTCATATCGCTCCTCGCTCGGAGGTCATATCAACATGACCTCCGAGCAGCCCAGCTTGCCAGAGTGACATTTAAAGTCAGGACCAAGCAAGAGAGGAAATAAACTTGTGATAATTGTAAGTCGCACAATTACTCACCTACTCGGGAAAAATATACACTCGTCCCGAATATTAATGTCTCTCTCTCTCTCTCTCGTTCTCTCTCTTTGTCTCTCACTTAATTTCCATTTGCCATGAATCGCGCGGGATGAGGTAAGAACGGTGCAGGCGTCCACACCCTGAGATGTGTTGGAGGGTGAGAGATTAGGGAGAGTCCTTGAGGTGATACTGCCAGCCCTCTGTGTCACTTTCCGTGGACTATTCACCATCGAATGTGTTTAAGGCTGTCCAGTCCATACACATCTGGTCCTTCCTCTACCTCTCATAATTAGGGTGGCGAAAATCGGGTGACAGAGGCTTCTCAAAGACAACTTAGCCATGTTGTTTCGAGAGGTGTGTGTGGTGTGTCAATAACCTGGTCCACACACATCACCAAATATCATCACTCTCTCTTGACTCGCTTCCTATTCTGATGTTGTGTATCTCTGTGCTCTGCCATTTGCTTTATCTTAGGAATTTCCATGCCTGACTTTCTAATTCACTGTTTAATAAAGCAATCTTCAATTAAACAAATTGTTCTACTTCAGCATTTCCTGTTCTAATTGTCTAGTTAATTTTATTAACATTTCAGTCACCTGCAGCGTAAACATTTGTTTAAAGATATATATATATCATAGATTTTCTGATCAGATGTTTGACCTTTAACATCTGCCCAGATGTGATGCCGGATGTATAACAATTAACATTCAGTTCAGTCTCAAGTGTGTCTGGTGACAGAGTTCAATACCCTAGTGTTGGTCTGGCGAAGATAGTCCAATATGCAACCCGTCCTCCTAATAGACCGTCGCATTTTAACGTACGCTCTAAAGGCCAAAAATCGTCGTACTAGAAAATGGTAGCGGCTCGCGAAATTGACATTACTGCCCCATTTTCTGTTGTGGGTCCTCTGGCAGGTTAGGATAAGTCCAACTATTCTTACTACGCGATAATCAAGACCAGCAATATTGACCAAGTTATCACCTACGCTGACGTCACTTGAAGACTTAACCAATAATAATCAAGAAATATAGTCCCTACCTGGCAACTTGTGCAGTTAATTACCGAGATAACACCTGGTGCGATTGTCTTTTGTTCTGTTTTGCGATAGTGTGGAAGATTTGTTCAACACTTGAGTTTATGTTAGTTCTACATATCTTTGTAAACAACGAGGGAAGGAGAGAGAGAGAGAGAGAGAGAGAGAGAGAGAGAGAGAGAGAGAGAGAGAGAGAGAGAGAGAGAGAGAGAGAGAGAGAGACAGACAGAGAGAGAGAGAGAGAGAGAGAGAGAGAGAGAGAGAGAGAGAGAGAGAGAGAGAGAGAGAGAGAGAGAGAGAGAGAGAGAGAGAGAGAGAGAGAGAGAGAGAGAGAGAGAGAGAGACTCAGAAAGAAACAGAAAGGAGTGGGAAAGAAGAAACTTGCCAGGGGTCTGGGAGAAGCAGGGCAAATAAACACATTTACAACTTGGCTGGCGGAAGGAAGAGTGTAATGAGGCGGAACAGGCAGCCAAGAAGAGTGAGAGAGAGAGAGAGAGAGAGAGAGAGAGAGAGAGAGAGAGAGAGAGAGAGAGAGAGAGAGAGAGAGAGAGAGAGAGAGAGACAGAGAGAGAGAGAGAGAGAGAGAGAGAGAGAGAGAGAGAGAGAGAGAGAGAGAGAGAGAGAGAGAGAGAGAGAGAGAGAGAGAGAGAGAGAGAGAGAGAGAGAGAGAGAGAGAGAGAGAGAGAGAGAGAGAGAGAGAGAGAGAGAGAGAGAGACAGACAGACAGAGACAGAGAGAGAG